GGGGGGTGCTATTGCTGCCCTCCTTCTGACAATACCAGTTTCCTGGATGACTCTGGCTATAAGTCCCCGAAACAAAACATCCAGGCAACTAGCATTTCCAGTGAGGTCATCAGTGGATGCCTATGTATTTCTCAAAGGATAGGTTTCCTTTAAAGACTAGAAGTGATTTTTACCAATTGTCTTCAATATGATCTACTATACCTTAACCTATCTTCTTATCTGACATATTAACCCCTTCTCACCTACCTTGTCAAATTGTAAAAAAAAAAAGAACTAGGGAGTTACCAACAGTCCCGAAAATGCGTGCAATTCTTCACAAGGCCACCAGGACCACTTTAGCCACAGCAGTGAACAGCTGACCTTTCTGTATTATAGTTCTTTTCTTTACATTCTACTAGGGATGTTCAGATACCAGTTCAGATACCAGTGCCGATACTTGGCATATTCATGAGAACTACCAGGGTTGCAGCGGTTGCAGCGCGGACCTGGCTCTGGCGCTCCAACACTGTCCTGAAGTCATAAGTCTGTTTTGTTTTATAAAAACTGTCACATGATAATAAACAAAAATGTATCAGTACTTGTACCTGTGAGTACTTGGACAAGTATCAGTACTTGCAAAAATGGTATTGGTGCATCCCTTGTATATATTTATATTGAAAAATCATACATTAAAACAGAGATGTACAAATCCCAGGAGCTCCGTATGCTCCTTAAAAATGACAGCTGCCTCCTAACTTTTACATTTTTCTCTAGTCTAGTCTTGGAGCTGGAAAAGTATCTGTACTTGTACTGAGTACTGTACTTGGTATGAGAACATCCCTACTTTCTACTTTACAACCTGTTGAGGAGTATAGTGACAGAGGGGGAGGTAGTGGTTAAATGGCACTTATCCATTAAATGTGGATGTACTATTGTCGTCCTCATAAGCTTATACGAGTTACATTTACTTTAATGTGCATAATATAAACAAATTAATATAAAATCTATACATGATTGATGATAATTATTGAATTTAACACACCTGACCCTCAGTGTCTGCAAAATTGCATTAATTCTAGTGCAGAATAGGAAATCAGCACCCAATGCTAATGTCACTTTAAAATAATGTGGCCTATATACAGTATATTAATTAAACAGAAAGTTGTACCCTACGTTTATTTGTGAAATAAAGTAATAATTGCTATAGAAATGCAAAACTGAGCTTTTTTAATGTGTGCAGAGAGCTTAAGGTTTTAGCAGTGAAGAAGAGTTGGAAACTGTCAGCTCTTCATTCCTGACCCCAGTGAGAGTGTAGACCAGGAGTTGGCAACCTTGGCACTCCAGCTGTGGTGAAACTACAAATCCCATGATGCCTCAGGGAGTCATGGTTGTGACTGTCAGTCTTGCAGTGCCTCAAAGGACTTGTAGTTCCACAACAGTTGAAGTTGCCAACATTGCCTACCCCTGATGTAGAGTAATACATTCACAGCAGAGGTAATAACACTTTCCCACCCAAATTGTCAAAAACGTTTTGGCTGCTGTTCCGCTTTAACATGGCACACACAGTACAGTAGAAATAAGCCCATACCAGCGAGTAAGTTATTGGTCTTTGTTTTCTTGTAGCAGGCAGATAAAAGGGGTTTATGTTCATGCTGTGTGTTATATGACCCTTAGACATATACTGTACACCTCCTTTACAAAATTATTTGCATCTGAATTTGATTAATACATTCCAGGTTCCATGGGGACATTACTACTTCAAACTTTTATATGTACAATATATGTGTATTATACTTTTGTATGTATATGTAGGAAATCTCTGAAACAACTGATTGGATAAATGTGAATATTAGAAAATTTTGTTAATGGTCAGAATCTACAATGATTCAGGGTCTGACTTGCAATGCCAGACATACTGAACTCATCTAGTTGAGGAGGAGCAAACTGACTGTAAACTTGCCAATAACAATACTATGTGCTTACAACATACTGCATTGTTTGGACTTTTTTGCAATCAGATTTTGCAGCTTGTAAACATTACAGATGTCTTTTGTCACTTAGATCATGGTTATAGCTTAAAGCGCTGTGCAAACTGTTGGCACTATATAAATCCTGTATAATAATAATAATAATAATAATAATAATAATAATAATAG